TAAATTACAAAATGTAAAATCTGAAAGAAAGAAGAACACGAGGAAGTGTGTTGGAGCTTAATCCTATGTCAAAGAGATAAAAAGATTAAGAATTCCAATAAAGAGAGCTATGACCTCAGGGCAAGACCACAGAGCATTTAAGTTTCCAACTTGTGGAATGGAATTAAAGAAGAGTTCAGAGCCTGATGTGTTAGTGCTTAATCCCAGCACTGGGAAGGCACAGGCTGGCAGATCTCTGAGTTTGGGATCAGCTTGGTCTAAAGATCAAGTCAAGGACATCCAAGCAAGGCAGTAAAGAAAAACAGAAAACTCATGAAAATGTCGTTAAACAAGGGGGCCATGTTCCAGTCCCAGTATGCAGCAGAACGTGGCAGCTTTGACTATAAGGTTTGGCTTTAGAGTCAAGACTAGAAGAAATGGGTTACAGAAGTTGCCTCTGTGCATAAGAACAGCTATCAAGGCTAGGCACATGTCAGGGGTGTCCCTGAATAGAGACCTGGTAGAGAGGCCCTTGTGTGAATCTGTGAAGTTCAAGCCTGGACTGCCTTGGAGAGCCCGGGGTGGTAGAGATACCAGAGTTGTGGAATACATGCTGGGGAGAGCTACTAACAGGAAGTAGAACCAGCCCAAGAGAAAGAAGTGTGTTGCAGTCAAACTTGAATGGAGCTGGAGATCTGAAGAGCATTTTGACAACAGACGTGGAGGTGCAAAGTTTGAAGTTTGCTCAGCTGGTGTTCAGTCTTGCTTTGGTCCAGTATTTCCTCTGTTACAGTGTTTGTTACAAAATTCTGCTATTACACCTATTTTCTGAAGTTTTAATTTCACTTTTATATTAGGATGCTATGATTTCACAAAATCTAAATACCTATCAATATGATGCACACTCTATTCTTTTCTTGTAGTTTCTAGTACATATACTTTTTTTCCTGCTACTAACTCCATCAGCCATAAAAAAAGCAGTCAACATAAAGCAGTGCAAAATACTTAAAATGAAGTAGTCTGAGTTCTCTTCTGTGGAGGCTGTTCTTGCTTGATGTACATTGCAGGCATAGATTAACTTGCTTAGTTTTCTCTTGATGAAAACACATTAGTGTCTGTTTTTTGATAACATTATGATTAATATGCTTTCTTCTGTTTCCAGTTCTCACTAAAGAGCCAACCTTTCAGGTAATTCCTCATCTCCACCCCCTTGTCTCTGACTTTGTGTACCTCATCATTTGATTTCATTCTCCACCCATCACTCCCACTGTGGATCTTTCTACCTTGCCCTCTAAAAATAGAAGGAGTTTTCTTTCCAAGCACTACTTCCTTTTGATTTTATCCTCTCACTAATGTCTATCCACCTACTCCCACCCCCCACTTCTTACTTCCCATTAAGAGGCCATAGAAGTGGCAAATATCTTCTTGGTCCTCTGATGATTCAGGGCACATTCTGCTCTTCTTCTCCGAAGTACCTCCCATTGAGACTTTTCCGAGTAGAATATATTTCTATTGCGCCTCCTTATTTCATTCCAGTTCAGCTTAAAGACAGTTCCTCTGATTCCTGGCAAATTATTTAGAGCTTGGGTCACTGATGTTCTGTCTATCATGTCTGAAAATTTTGAAATTCCTTTTGAGTGCCTCATTTGCTACTTTTATGTTTCCTTCACTCCTTCCTTCCCAATAATATTGCATGAATCCTACTCCATTTGACATAATTTTGTGCTTCTATTGAACAAACCCTAGCTAATTTCTCATCAGAATCGACTCCATCCATTATTTCAGTATGAATTTTCTCACACAAAAGCAAATCCATTTCTTCCAGCTGTTGCTAAAACATGGACTTCTCTAATTTTTTAATCTTATAGAGTGTAATATTCTGAAATCTTACCAAGTGACAATTTAACTTTATTTTCCGTCTTGCTCTTAGTCACCTTAGTTTCTGTGCTTTATAGACAATTACTGCACTGCATCTTGGTCCTTCAGATCGGCTCAGGACACTTCTGAGTGTGTTCTGTCCCAGAAGTCAATTATAATACTAAGGGCCTATAATGAAATCCTTTAAGCATATCAGAACGATAGAAAAAGAGAAATGAAATCAATATGCTATTTTCTTCTGCTGCCTCTCTGGACTGGTTCTTCATTTCTCTTGGAAAAACTTCCTCTGTAATTTTCTTATTTTGGTTCCAATTAATTATACAGAGCTTCCAGAAAAGTCTTTCTCTGGGCGGTGGAGGTGCATGCCTTTAATCCCAGCACTCGGGAGGCAGAGGCACGCAGATCTCTTTGAGTTCAAGGCCAGCCTAGTCTGCAGAGCAAGTTCTGTGACAGGTACCAATGGTACACAGAGAAACCCTGTCTTGAAAAATCAACAACAACAAAAAAGCCTTTCATATCTACTTTCTATATAATGGCCTATAGGATTATTTTCATTATTTTCCCTTACATAACTCATTTCATCAGCACTGATTTTTGTTGTACTTTATTTTATTATCTTTTAAGCTGCATATCAGCTTTTATCTTTGTCTTGGTAGTTCAGTAATCTCAGCAACCAGAGTGTGTGGTGGGAGTTTCTCAGTCCAGCCCTGGCCCACTGGTCCAGAAAAATCTCTCCCACCTGCAGTCCCACAGCTGCTTATAAAATAATTACTCAGAGGCTTGTATATTAATTACAAGCTGTTTGGTCTATGACTCAGGCTTCTTGCTAGCTACCTCTCACATCTTAAATTAGTCCATTTACATTTATTAACAGTGTACAAAAAGACCATCCCACAGCAAGAGTGCCTTCTAAGAATAAATATCAAAGTTCCTAAAACTACTTTTGCAATTACCAAATTCTGCACAACTTAATTTCTTATCACATCCTGATTTTTGTTGCTGTTTTTGGTTTTTCAATACAGGATTACTCTGCGTAGCTCTGGCTGTCCTGAAACTCACTCTGTAGACCAGGCTGACCCCAAACTCACGTAGAACCATGAGTTTGCTTCCTGAGTACTGGGATCAAAGGTGTGTGCTGCCACCACCTGGCTCCATCCTTTTTTTTTTTTTTTTTTCTGATTCTTTCACATGTGTTCTGCTCTAGCCCTCACTCTTCTTGGTCACTGAACTTGTTAAGCATGTCTGGCTTGCTGCTTATGACTTCTCATATTTGTAACATATCGTTCTTACGTGGAACTTTCTCCTGTATGTTTCTTAAATTTCTTCTCAAATACTACTCTATCATTTATGCATTCTTTGATCCTGCTAAGTATAAGAGTATTTCCACAGATAGTGCTTGCAATTCTGCCTTGTCTTTTTTCTTCATATTAACCACATATGCATTATATAAAACTGTTGCTTTTCTGTTGTCTAATTGCTTCTCTTCCTAAGTAGAATGTTCTGTAAATGGCAAACAGATATCTGTTGTATTGTTTACAATGTATTTCCTCCAATCAAACTGTTGTTTGGCACACATTTAAAAACTTTGGTGTAAAGACATTTTAAGCTTGGGGATTTGTATATATTTATGCTATTTAACTTGTCTACTGATTCATCAACTAGGTTGATATGATTTTATACTTTTATTTTCTTAACCACTCAGGCCCAGGCCATCTTTAAACTTCCTATTAGAAGTATATTTACTTTGTTATTTCTCTGTTATAATTATTGTTTTGTAGCTCAGGATATTTTAAATAACCTACTAAATTCATATATGATCTCTTCATCTCAGTGCTGGTTTGAATGTAATTGACCTCCATAGGTTCATAAGGAGTTGCAGTATTAGGAATTGTGGCCTTGCTGGAGTAAGTATGACCTTGTTGGAGGAACTATGTCACTGTGGGGGTGAGCTTTGATGTCTCATATAATCAAGCTGCCCTTGTGTGGGACTCAATTCACTTTCCATTGCCTGAGGATCAAGATGTAGAACTCTTAGCTCCTTCTTTAGCACCATGTCTGCCTGCATGCTGCCATGTCTCCTCATGATGATAATGGACTAATAGTCATCGTGTCTCTCCACAGTAATAAAACCCTAACTAAGACATTCTCCAAACACTATGTCTCCTCTCTCTCTCTCTCTCTCTCTCTCTCTCTCTCTCTCTCTCTCTCTGCTTCTGCCTACCTAGTGTTGGTATTACAGTTGCTGTTCTGCGTGTTCTTGAAAACATTTTATCTCAGAAACAATATACCTGCCGTGCTTAACAAAAATCAACTCTGTCATGATTATACACAAAACAAAGTATTAACATGGTTGTGCAATCTTTCATAGTTGGGGCTATTGTCCATATTTCAAATCTGAGCTAAAATTTAATTTTATTCATTATATGCTTTTATTTGCTCTTAGTTTATAAACCTATCCAATGATAAAACTAGCATAATATGACTATTATTTCTTAAATTGGTAGAACTCTTCCTCATTTACAACAATTATACACCCACAAATACCTACACATGTAGTAATTCATTGACAGGTCAAATACTTCAGATTTTTCAACTAATATTGCATTTCTAAATAAGGTATGGCAAGTCTAACATGAGTACATTCATTAAAGCTAGGCAGTCTAAGCTAGATGTGGTTACAAATGCTTTTAACTTCATTACTCTTGAAGCAGAGGCAACTAGATCTCTGTGAGCTCCAGGCCAGCCAGGGCTACATAGCGAGACCCTTGTCTATGGAATGCTGAGAGCAGAAGAAATAGTCTTCTCCAGGGAAATGCCCACCAGCTGGTTATCCAGGACCCAATGGTCAACCCCCAAAATATACATACAAATAATCTTATACAGGCTGAGCAAATTGCATTAAGGAAAAGAGGCTATGAATTTGAAATGGGGACACATGGAAGGATTTGGAACAAGGAGAGGAAGAAGAAAATGACATGATTATATTTTAATATCTCAAATTAAAAATGTTTTAACACAAAATCAATGAAAACACTGTGAAATCTCCCTTTGGATATTGATTTAATTTTTATGTTTATAATAATGAACTTATTGTCTCCTGTCTGTTTATGAAATACTGTTTTTTTTGTGTTCAATATTCGTAGACATACTACAATTGTTCTTGCATCAAAGAAGGATTGACAACTGCAGACACCGAGGGTGACTTTGTTGACGCCATTTCTGGAAAATGCAACATGAAGTGTCACACGTTACCTTTGTTTTTTGCTTTTTTCTTTTGTTCAATAATTTTTTCTAATTTGTCTAGCATACCTGTCACCTTGACTATCCTCCAGTAAGTATATAATTTTCATAATTATTATTACTAATACATACATAAGAAGGATACATTTAGAAATAGTTCAGATTATTACAGCAAATGATTTCTTGTGTTTTATACCTGTAAATATAAAGAGAAAATACTTATATTGATAAAATTCCTGTGTAAGTATAATTTTTTTCCTTTTACTTGCTCATTATTTGCGTGACATGTGTAGCGGTTACTTTGGTTTCACTTTAATTTAAAAATAAGCATACACAATTTTGGAATTTTTACATAATATTTTCTAATTTTGTAGAAAATGTTGATATTTAATCACTAATAACAAAATAAACTTAATAGAAAACTTAGATTACATTTATCTTGTATAACATACAGAAATCATCCATAAACAGGAAGATTTTTAATTGTAACATAGATATGAGTGTAAAGTTGATTCATTGGTAGGGATATTAAACTCTAGTTCTATATTAAAAACAGCTATGAGAAAACAGTGTCATCCACAAAAGAATGCAGTAACTTTGCAATTTCAATTTATTATTCTAAATTGAACCAACTTTTGTCATTCATGTGTCCTTCCAGAAAATTTTAAGTCTACCTAACATTCATTTTTATTCTAGGAACAGAGTAAAAGAGCACTATTCTAAACAATGTTTTTCAAGAGGTTAACAAGTATATTTGCATCCTAACTATCCTGTAAAATTTGACCAATAAAATGAGAGAAACAATAGCTTGTTTCTGGCATGATCTCAATTAGCTGCGAAGTGAAAATAGAGACAGAAATGTGTGGCATATCACAACAAGTATGTGGTTCTGAAGGGAAAAAAAGCATGATGGAGAATAAGAAGGAAATATAGGGGAGGGAAAAGAGGAGTGGGTTTGGTCAAAATGCATTATATCTACAATGAAATTCTCTACAACAGACAAGCAAGATTAATTTTGTTTTGTTTTATGTTGTTGTAGTTCAAGCATTTGGTTTTGGTTTTGGTGGACAAGATCTTCCTATATAACCCAAGCTTGCCTCAAACATGTGATCCTTTTGCTTCTGCCATTCCATTACTGGGATTACAATCAGATGGGCATCTTGATAGGGTAGTTTGAAGAGAGTAAAGAAAATGGAGTTAAAAGAGGAATCTGGAGAAAAGAAAGGGAGAGTATAATAGTGATATTTAGAGATAATATGATAGAGCATATTTAGGAAGTACTTAGCTTTGTTAAAAGGGTGAGAGTTATAACTTGGATAGGATATGCAGAAACATAGGATTATGTTCACACTTCCTATTTGTGCAACTAACAGAATGATAATTCTAGTAACTAAAAGATAAAATTAGAGGGAAAAATGCAAAAGAACACTTATTTGAATGGAAGAAATGCCTCAGTGATTAAAGACACTTTCTACCATGTCTGAGGACCTGTACTCAATCCTCTGAACTCACATGGCAGAAATAAATGATCACTTCTTGAAAGTTTTCCTCTGACTTCTGCAACGTCCCCTCTGTCCCCCACTCTCATACACACGCACACACACACACACACACACACACACAAAAAAAAAAAATTGATTAGTAAATAATGAATATGACTTCTTTAAAGTTGATGTGAAATATCCTAGCCAAGTGTCCTCTTCAGAAAGACATGATTATAATATTCCTGAAATATGATTTTAAATCTTCTCATTGTTATTGTCACCAAAAAAATAAAACATAGCACACTCTCACACACATGCACTTCTATAAATTATGAGATAAACAAAGCAGACAAATGAAATAGCATATACAAAATTGAAGCAATACTGGAATTTCAGCTAATACACTCATAATGATGTTTGTAAGGAACTGCAAATGTGGCATGACTGTGCTGACCTCAGCCCTCTGGGTACTGAAGCTGGAGCATCACAAGTTTGCAAACATCCTTGGTTATTCAGTAATACCTTGTACAAAAGCAAAAAAAATGAATTTGTGAAGAAAACTAAGAATTCACAGATGTCATGTATTTTCTGCATATAGCTCTGTTAAGAATGTGAGGACTTCACCTTGGTAAATGTTTTGGAAGCAGAGCTGAATGCATTAGACAAGGCAGAGGCTCTTGAAAATGATGTCAGAAAACAGAAAATGTCCAGGATGTCCATGATGTAACAAATTTCTGAATGTGAAAGAAAATTAAATGTTCAGCAAATGAATGCCTTGAAAGCATGACATTTCACGAAATCTCAGAAGCTTGTGGAAGGCTACGGGAGTTCACTGAAAGTAGGACAGTTGGAGAAGTTTTATCATCATACATGGGAACTAACTGTAGTTTTCTACATCAATAGGGAAGAGAATATTTTGGTTTTGAAGCTTGAAAATGGTCCAACCAACTTCTAAGAAGATTTTAGATATAGCAAAAGCCAGTTCAGGAAAGGAGGTTTACAATTAAGAGCACATGCATTAAAATATCAAACAATCTCAATAAATGAATTAATGATACATTTTAAGGTCCTAGGAAAACAAAACAAAACTAATACAAAACAAGTAGAAAGAAATGGAGGGTGAGGATACAGTGCTATTTGGAGAGTACTTACTGAGTATTCACAAAGCCTAGGGCTTGATTCTCAGCACCACATAAACCATGAGTGTTGTTATGTGCCTCTACTACCAGCATATGCAAGGTGGATACAGGCAGGTCAGAAGTTCAAGGTCAGCCATAAAGAGAGTTAGAGGATAGCCTAAAACAAAAAAAATCAAACAGCAAGGAGAGAAAAAGAGAAAGAGCAATGGAAGGAGGGAGGATGGAAGGAAAGAGAGAAGTATAGTAAAAAAAAAAAGATACAAAGAAATAGTTCTGAGCTGAAACGAATGAGAGAGGGACAGAATAAAACAGAAATGGCTTAGAAACACACGGACTACTATGAATAAACCTGCTATGAACATAGCTGTGCAACCAGATTGCCTTATCCAGCCTTAATAGAAGAGGAGATGCCTAGTCTTACTGCAGCTTGATACTCTGTGGTTGGCTGATATCCAGGGGAGGCCTGCTCTTTTCTGACGAGAAAATAGTGGGGGTGGAGTGGACGGGGTGGGGAAGGAAGGTAAGGTAGGGGGAAGAACTGGGCAGAAGAGAAGGAGGGGAAATTTTGGTTGTGATGTAAAAACAAACAAACAAATAAAAAGCTGCCTGGACAAGATTGATGAGCTCTCATTCAGAATAACAGCATTTGAGATGGGTAAAATGCCTAAGGAAGTGACAAAAAGGAAATATTGCAAAACATACACCAAAATGCAGAGGATCATTAGGGGACACTGAATATTCAAAACATGAGGGAAATACAGATGATATTAATAAATTTCAAGGTATATACGACTTACAAAGATTAGGAATAAGCCGGGCGGTGGTGGCGCATGCCTTTAATCCCAGCACTCGGGAGGCAGAGGCAGGCGGATCTCTGTGAGTTCGAGGCCAGCCTGGTCTCCAAAGCGAATTCCAGGAAAGGTGCAAAGCTACACAGAGAAACTCTGTCTCGAAAAACCAAAAAATAAAAAATAAAAAATAAAGATTAGGAATATATTAAAGAATCTAGATAGATCATTGGTAAGCAATGAGATTTCCCAATTTAAAAATATAATAGAGCATTTCAGGCCAGTTTCATTCATAAGATACAAGAAAGGTTTTGTATATGGGAATTCATAAACATAATATAAAAACAGAATCAAGGATAAAAATCATGATCATCCATTAGATGTAGAAAATTTTAGTGACAAAATAATAAATAAGCAAATGACCCTCAGTGTTCCGTCTGAATAAAAAAGCAGTAATATACAAAAATACACAAAACCAGTGAGTTTGAACAGATTGTTAATGAAAGAGATAAACACCTAGGAATGTATATCATTCATAGTAGCTTCAAAATTAGTGAGCTATCAATGAATAAACCTAAACAAGATGAAATGCCTTTACAATGGTAATTATAGGAAAAGAAAGAAACCAAAGAAGACATTAGAAGATAATTCATGGTTATAGATCAGTAGAATCGATATTGGCTACATGAAAATACTACCAAATTCAAAATAAAAATTCTTGCAATCTCTATCAATGTGTTCTACTGGCATTCTTCATATGACAAGTGAAAATCCTAAAGTTCACAGGTAAATGCAAATGATTCTGAATAGCCAAAACAGGAATAAACACGAAAGCAAATGCTTGAACCATATATAACTCAAACTATGTAACCGAGCCATTGTCACACAAACACTGTAGTACTAGCACAAAAACCAATATTGAGAGTAATGAAAGAGAATACAGGACCCAGAACAAACCTGCCTAGCAACAGCCCTCTGCTTTCCACAAAGGCATCCCAAGTTTATGTTGCAGAAACCGATGTTTCTGTAGAATACAGCCTCTTCAACAAATGGTGCTGGAAAACCGGAAGTCCACATGCAGAAGAATGAAACTGGTTCAAAAAAAAGTAAATGTGAAATGAGTCAAAGATCTTTATATGAGAGGGCAAGCCAATAATGACATTATAAGGTACAAAATAACTGAAATATTTTTAAAGACACCCCAAGATATAAACATAAGCAATGTCTTTCTGAGAAGGCCTCCAACAGTTCAGGAACCAGGACGAATTTGGCAAGTGGTATTTAATCATATTTAAAAAAAAAAAAAACACATCTGTCAGGCAAGAAAATAATTAAAGAGGAGGCAGTCAACAGAGTAGGAGAAAATTGTTTCCAGCTATACGCCTGGCCATAGATTGATATGTAGACCATAAGAAGAACTCGAAAAATGAAGCACAAGTAATTCAGTGGACAAATGGGGAAACATAATGCACAGACAGTTTAAAAAAGAATTACAAGTATCCATTAAATAAAAAGTAGAGCTATCCAATAAAAACAAAATTGTCAAGCATTTTAATCATAAGGTAAATGCAAATCAGAAACATATTCACATTTTGTATTACCCAGTAGAATGGCCACATTTAAGTAAAACAAAAATAATATCTGGTGAGGATGAGGGAAAGAAATCCCCTTCAGCTGATG